TCCAAACATCGGATGATCTCCCAAAACCCCTCTGCCATTGTATAAGGCTATTAGTAATGATAAACCCTTGATTGGTCTACTTTTATTTTACACTAATCATATAAGCTAAATCAAATCGAGCAAGAACCCTTTCATGATACGGAGTAATAGATTACATGTGCATATTGAGGATCATCCTGACTACTTTACGAAATCAAAGTCCTTTTTTAGTAAGTTTCAATTTTCCTGTCCCCTTTACTTTTCTCTTCCAACCCCAACCCCAACCCCAACCCCACTAAACACAACACACACAATCAATACATCATTCCTTATTAACAAACTTACCAGCCCTTTCGACGGGCAGTAATAAATGGTCGTAATGGAAATGAATTTATATTTAACGTACTCTCTTTACTCATTCAAAGGAACCATAAATTACGGCGACATATCATAAACTGTTCAGTGCCATTTCTGAGAATTCTGACTTCTGTTCCAATATTCAATTAGACAACAAACTCCAGTAAAAAACAGGCATGCTAATAATAAATAACTTCAACTCAATTACTGCAATAAAAACATAAATGCTGAACAACAAAACCCCAATTTTCAATCAGAATACAACACACAATAATAAATTCCACCCATCCAACATTCAAAATTGCGTAAATATTGTTGTAATTGTACCTTAAAAGCTGGGGAATTACCCTGAATAATCTGACAAAAAATGCAAGTATCTTGAGAATTGGGGTTTTTCACCAAATCCCTAGTTTGAACTTGAGCTGTAGTCGACTCAGATGAACAATTCGAAGTAGATACGATATGGGTATTTTGTGAATTGATGTGGGAAGGACAGATATGAGAGCATAGTACAGCAATTCGTCTTCGAGCTTCAGAATTCATGGTGTTTTTTTTCTGGGTTTTTGGAAAGTTTGAAATTTGATTGTCACAGATTTTGTGGGGAGGAAGAAGAGAAAGGTAAAAGAGGAGGGAGCAAAAGAGAGGAATTTGTGGGATTGATTGCTTTTGGCTGCTTATCCACTTGAATTCAATGAGAATCGATGGGATTAATCCTCTGGTTTTTGTCAAACTGTGTCCTCTATCCTATAAACATTATGAGATAGTTTGACATTGACAGCAAAATACAAGTTTGAGTAATTGTTGCCTAATTTAGGGTTGATTTCTACTTTTGGGGGAAATAAGTTTTAAGAGTAACTATTTTGTGGCTCATGCGATTCCTCGACTTTTGTTTATATATGAGTATAAAATGAAAAAATGCCTAAATTTATATACGGTAATATATTGAAAATATTATCTAAAGTTTGAAATAAATTTTAAGAATGAGAAAATAATCTGAGAATTGAAAGAGAAATGTAGTAATATACTTATAAATATTAATCCGTGTAATTGGTTAACTAGTTTCTAATCTAGAAACTTACTTGTACCATCCATAGAATCAACGACCATTAGTATGTAATTTGTTTCTTACGAATTAAATTGTAATTTATTGTGCAATTAATTAGAATTTACATTCTAGAGAAAATTAAAGACGGAGATTACACATATGAAAAGCTTTAGAGTGAAGACACATAGGGTGACACAAAGCAAGGATGTGACGTCAAATCATATTGATGCAAGTGATACATGGCGTTACCATATTGTCCTGTGTGTTTTAATAATATTATAAATGAGTTTTTTGAAATTCTAATTTAGATAAAAATAAGTTTCTTGAAAAATAAATTTAGATTAGTAAATTTCAATAAATAAAAATACTCTAAACAAGTCTTGTGTAAAACGGGTGTGCGTTAATCTTTATCATACAACAGAGAGTTTGAGGGTAACTTAACTATTTTTATTAGGGCTGAGCAAAATTATCCGAAAAACTGATCCGTAACCATTCCGAAAATTAGGGTACCCGATCCGATAACCATAACGGTTTGGGTACCCGTTCCGATAATTTGTTATCGAGTATGGTTATTGGGTATCATTTTAAAATTAAGGTTACCCGATCCGTTCGATAAGCATTTTTTTGCTTTTTTTCCCATCTTAAATCTAATTTTTTAAAATCTAAACACTTACTTTACTTTATTATTACCTCATAATATCAACGATTAGTAATATTATTAATAATTTGGTCAAAATCATATGATATTGTTGTTAATTAGTGGCAAATTATATCATAATAACTACATAATTAAGTTTAATTATCATTATTGGATATCTTATTGGGTACCCGATAACCGATCCGAAAATGCGGTTACCCAAAGTCCGAGTACCCGAACTTATCGGTTCGGGTTATGGATATCACTTTTAGGAATTTTGGTTATCGGGTACCAGAACTGTTAGTACTAACGGTACGGGTACCCGTCCCATGCTCACCCCTAATTTTTATAGTAACTAGTGCAACCAACGCGCGTTGCGCGCGAAATGGCTAGCCTTTGCAACTTAATTTTACTTGTCTTGTGTTTGCACTTCACATGGAGGAATAAAAGACCGGCAAAGGAATATACTACCTCTGGTTCAATTTACTCGCAACAAAGGAATATTTTATGTCTCCAAATAATACCCCTTTGTTGCAAGTAAATTGAACCGGAGGTAGTATTTCTATTGCTTAGGCATTGTTTGTTTGTAGTCGTGCTAAGTTGAATGTTACGTGTGAAATATATCGTATATTAAAAAAAAAACTTTATTTTTTTATTATTTGTATACGATGATTCTTTTAATTGGAATACTATGTAGAGTCACTGAGTCACAGTAGAATATAATTCTTAGGGTTTTCAATGATAATGTAGAAAAGGAATAAATGTTAAAATTGTTGTTTGTTTATTTTTGCAGTGTTGATATTAGCATTACTTAATTGTGGTGGTACAATACGAAATAGAAAAAAAATCATCAATGATAAAACCGAAACGACCAATTCCTAACCCACCACATAGGCTAACAATATTAAACAACCACTTTATATTGGTTTTGTCAACTTTTTTTTGGCCACAATTTGATTTGGAAATTTTGGGAAGGTGGTAAACAAAGATGTGGAATTTAGTACTTGGAAATGGCAATGATAGTGTGGAGAGAGAAAGTTAAAAGCTTTCAAGATATGAAGTCATGGAGAGGAGGAGAGAAAGCTCAAATGTGTAAGCAAATGTAGACGGGTAAGAACAATTTGAAGATGGACTGTTGGAGTACAAAATTACAAATAGGGGTACAAAGGAAAACACATTTTGAAGGGTAAATAGGGGTATAAAGGTAAAATAACATTTTGAAGGGTATAAAAGTCCGTTCAGTATTCGTAAGAACAACTTTCTACTTTTTATAAGGTAGGGAAATTAAACCTTTTTTTTTGTTAAAAGAGCAACAAAGGACGGGTGTGAGAATCGATCATAAGATTTCCTGAAACCGGGAGGAAAGCTCTAACCACTTGAGCTACCCCTCTCTCTCTGAGTTAGTTGCTCATTAAGTGGTTAGGCATCGGATGATGAACCAAGTCGTGTTGGCTTGGTGTCCAAAAGTACATACTTCCTCTATTTGTTTAAATGCATCACTTTTTATAAATGGATTTTTAATGTAAATTCATCCCTTTTTTTAGCTACTCATAAAAAATCTCTCCCCATCTCTCTCATATCACATATGAGTATATGACCCTCCATACTTTTCCCCTCTCAATCTCTATCTCACAACTCTAAAAATTGTTTAAAATCCATAATTTCAAAAGTGATAGATCTAAAAAACGGATGAAATATTTTTTAAAAAAATGTTAATCTTTTAAATTGTTTTGTATTGCAATAATGATATACATATCATATTTTATCTTATGATAATTCATTTGGAATTTCAATAAATATATCATTGGATGTGAAGAAGGATGAGTTGGGCACAAATTCTTAAATGAATGTGGTTCACACTAATCTATTGTGGACCAATAATATTAGAGAAACTATGGTTGTTTTATTAATAAAAAAAGGTCATTATAATAAAAATAAGGTCACTATGTTGAAATAAAACTCATTTTGGCGGTGTTTAAATATCACTAATTATGAGTGTAATTCAATTGTTTAAGTTTGTTGATCTCCAAGGTTTTCTGCGTTAGGTCTTCAAAAATTAGTGTCAGGGTATTTAATGGTAAAACTATCTCATTTTGATACTAAAATGCATATTTTTCGAGATCAAGCGTCTGTGGGAATAATATTATGTCAATCCCGGACTCATGATGAGACGAATATAAGTTATTGAAATTCACAATAAGTTTTTGAACATCTTGGCTTTTAAAAGTTTATATACTTTGTCTAAGTTTTTTTAACATTTCATAAAAGGTTTTGAAAATTCCATATGAATTAATTTGTTATTAGACATATTAGTTTCTTAAAATTATATGTATTGAATGGGTCCAATACTTTATAATCTTAGATGTGAATCTTACTGAAAATTAAATTTCTAGTTAAGATGAGACCAAAATCGAACTAGACCAGTTTATTTGTCCAAAATTAGATTAAGGGCTTGTTTACATTTGCTGAACTGAACTGATTGGAGCTGAACTGAAATGAAATGAATATTCTATGAGAGAAAGAAATTAGGAACTGAAATGGACTGAACTAAACTGATTGGAGCTGAACTGAACTAGTTGAAGCTGAATTGAACTGAAATTAAGCTGAAGTGAACATGCCCTAATTTGCTTTTAGAATCTTTCCTTAATAAAATAAATCAAAGAAAACTAATAATTTACTACCTTTTTTTAAATTTCTTAATACAAAACAATAACATAAAAGAAAAATTCCTACATGTTAAAGGAGAATTTACAGCATTTTGTAGATGTGTTGTACAATATATTAATCAATAAAGCATGTGTCCTCCATTAAAAAGCGATTTCTAAAAGATTTTGGCTTGAGTCAAAATGAAAATTGAAAAATGAAACAAGTGTCCTCCATTAAAAAGCGATTTTAAAAGATTAAATGATAATTAAAAAATTAAATTTCTGAATTACAAGATCAGATCGATTTTCTTTGACCCGCCTTAAATCGGACCATTTTTTAAGCACCCATGTTTCTAACAATTTGGTCGACCATAATATATTAATATATAAATGTAAATATTTTCTTTAATGGCATAATATGAATATTCCTTATACTAGTATAACATGTTGCAACCTTGAACCACCTAACTTTCTTTCCAAATTAGTCTTCAACCTCTCATTATAAAATACCAAAAAAAAAAAACATAAAACCCATGACAAGGCCCATAACCTTGTTCTTTGGGGACAATGAACACACCTAGCTTCCCAAACAAATTCTCATATTCTCTCTCCTATATTTATTGACCAACCCCATTTTTCTCTCCTTTTGATTTGAATTTATATCATTATTTTATACTTTCTTTATCGGTTTTTCATATCAAAAGGTCACACCTTCTTCTAGAAAGCAGAAACAGGGCATAACATTACGTACTCCATAACATCATTACCTTCCTCATTCTTCAACAATTTCCCTCATTTCTTGGCACCTTCATTTTCAAACCATATTTCTTCCTCCCCAAGTCACAAATCTAACACTTAAATCACCCTTTTCTTTTTGACAAAAATACCCAAAATTTCAGGGGAAAAACAGAGATGAAAGAACAATCAATTGTGCCAAAATTAGAATTAAATCAACTCAAAGTTTTTGGCCCAGTTGGAAGAGGAGCAAAAGGGGTTGTTTTTCATGTCAAAATCAATGATTTGGGTGAAGATTTGGCGTTAAAAGTGGTGTTGAAATCCGCCATTAAATCCAAAACTGAGAAACAGAGTAATGGGGTTGTTGAAGTTCAAAACAGAGTATTTTTCGAACAACAAGTTTTGAAGGAATTCAATCACACCCTTTTGCCGAAACTTAAAGGGGTTCTTGAAACTGATAATATTTTTGGGTATGCCATTGATTATTGCACTGGTGGTAGTCTTAGTTCTCTAAGAAAGCTTCAAGTTGAGAAGATGTTTTCCGATGATATAATTAGGTAAGTTTGATTAGGGTTTCTCTTTACGTATCCGTAATGATTAACTATAAGCATTAAATATAATTTGTCCTAGTTTTTCTAATTACGGAATTCATTACAAAATCACACGTTGTTTTAATGTTTGTTATTTTTTTCCAATAAGCATTGAATACATTCAATTAAAATTATGTGTGGATTGCTGTAATTAATGTTTGTTTCGTTTTCTTTCTTTTGGCAGATTTTATGGGGCTGAAATTGTTTTGGCATTGGAATATTTGCACAAGAAAGGGATAGTTTACCGAGATTTAAAGCCGGAGAATATATTGATTCAAGAAAATGGTCATCTAATGTTGGTAGATTTCGATCTTTCAACCAAACTCATTCCTAGATCGCCTAAAACTCGGTCGAGTTCGGGTTCGAGTTTGAGTTCGGATTCGAGTTCGAGTGCAGAATCGGTAAAAACATCCGATTTAGGAAAGAAAAAGTCGCAATTGTCAAGATTTACCGCGTTTTATAACTGCGGTAAAACTAGATTTTCACTAGAAGAAACTTATTCGGGTAAAACAGAGGACGAGTTAGAAAACTCGTTCGAGTCAGACTCAGTGGGTAAATCCAACTCGTTCGTTGGAACAGAGGAATACGTGGCACCGGAGATCATCAAAGGGAACGGTCACGATTTTGCGGTAGATTGGTGGAGTTTTGGTGTCGTTTTACATGAAATGTTGTATGGAACGACGCCGTTTAGAGGAGTAAATAGGAAAGAAACGTTTTATAGAATCATATCAAAGTCACCTGATTTGGTTGGTGAAACGACGCCGTTGAGAGACTTGATCAGGAAATTACTTGAGAAAGATCCAAAACAAAGAATATCATTGGAGGAAATCAAGGGTCATGATTTCTTTAAAGGGGTTGATTGGGAGATGATCGTACGGCTAGAAAGGCCTCCCTTTATTCCTGATCAAGAAGAGGTTGATGATGAGGGTATAGATGGAAATAAAGCAATTGATGTTGAGAGTATTGTTTATGGAATATTTAGAAAAGAAGAGGTGGTTAAAAATGTAAGTGAGGGTAAAAATAATAAAAATTGTGAGGTAAATAATAGTGGTACAAATAGTTGTGGTAAATTAGATGAAGAAAGTAAAACTAGAGGTGCTTGGGTTGAAGGGTTAGAGCAACCTTCTATTTCAAGCAATTTTTTGGTCTTTTAGATTTGCATATTCTCGGCTTGTTAGTTATTTTACGTTTTTATTTATGAAGCGTTTTTTTTTTTGGTAGTGGAAAATTCAATTTATTAAAGAGGAGGAATGCAACAAAAAAAGTATAAAAAAATAAGGTTGATTCTTTGTAGTTTATTTGGTGGATTTTGTTGCACTTTAGCTTTTTAGTTTGTATTAGTTGTAAATGAAGTGTATTATATACGTAGTAATTTGAACTTTGATGAGAATTGATAGATATTTTAATGTGTTGTACACTTTTCTATCAGAAATCAAGTTATCTATTCCATTTTTTTTAAATGTAGTTTTTATAATGTTGTGTTCTTTATAATATTATCCTTTTGTTTTAAAATAATACAATTTGTTAATAATCTTCTAGTACCAATCGTTTACATGGTGATTTTTTTTTTGTTTTTCATTTTTTTAAATTTTTTTTAATGTTAAATACTATGTGTAGTTGTTGACAGAAATCTTATAGTACCAATCGTTTACATGGTGATTTTTTTTTGATCCTTTTTTTTAATGTTAAATACTATGTGTAGTTGTTGACAGAAAATTTTCATGTAGAATGCCTCAATGACATGCATGTAATCATATCCTTGATTGTCGGAATTTTGAGAAGGGATATGTATGAATTGGTTTGTTTCAAAATAAAAATGGAAATAAAGAGTCAATTCTCACTTCCTTTTGTGTCTTTGTGGTGCTTTTTCAACACCAAAAACCATGTAATAATATGAATGTGTGGGCTTATAAAACCCTGCTATAAAGGTCATGTAAACTATTTATAGATATTACTATATTTCTTATGTTTTCTTTGAATAACCAATTATTTTGTAATTTTTACTAACAACACAAACTTCCTCCTCAAAATTATGCAACATTTGGTTTTGCATGGTCTATAAATTAAATCAAGCTGATTTCCAATAGCATACAATTATATATTTTCCTTAGCTCACATGCATGATTATACAATAAAACCAAATAATAAGACAAATTTAACAAAAAAACTCACATGAAATCTCAATCAAAGTTTATAAATCTTAACATCCAAAAGGAGATGCGATATGTATTTTCGAACAAACAAATTAAAGTAAAGAATAATTATGCTATAAAAATAAAGCATATATATATCGTGTGGAATCATCAATCATGCTCATATGATGTCGACAGTAGTGTCATTTTCTATCGTGTGCTTGAGAACAAAATTGTGATTTTTGAAAATAATCGCCAAATTTTGTTAAAATATCTGTAGAAATTAGTGTCACCAAGTTGCACTACAATTCACCATACACTTTGTGCTCTAAACCCTATTCAATTTATAAGCATCACAGAATATATAATAGTCGTCTTCATTACCCACATAAAGGTTCGTTGCTAAAATTGCCACAATAGCTACTTTTTTAAGTTGTCAATTTAATATTTATACATACTCTTCATTCAAACCATATATAATCAAAGAAACTTTTAATTCGTCAAAATTGTTGACAGTATGCTATAATAGATCGAAAAGGACAATGCAACATCAAACTAGTTCTCTTGCCTTGATGATAAAGCAAAATTAAATATATTTCTTTATCCATATCTTTAAAGTTTGTTGAAAATTTTGTTTCTTGTTAATTTTCCCATGTTAAAACTTACAAGAATTGAGTAAGGGTCTGTTCACATTTACTGAACTGAGCTTATTTGAACTGAAATGAACTGAACTGAACTAATTGGAGCTGAACTGAATATTTTATGAGAGAGAGAAATTAGGAGCTGAACTGAACTGATTGAAGCTGAACTGAACTAAAATTAAGTAAATATGAATAGACCCTAAAAGGAAGTGATGATAAAATAAGGAGGTAAGCTTATAGTTATGTTAATGATTTATCAAGATTTGCCTCTAGTGCAAGATTTTTTGTAGTTGCTTCAATTAATGCATCGCCTATCATTTCAATGCAGAAGGATCGTGATAAACTACTGAAAAATGATTAATAACTACTGAATGAAACCTTGGTGTACCATGACCACGATACTATACAACAAGCTAAGGTAAGATATAGGACGTGATCTTAATAACTAATTCAATGAACCAACTAACTTTGTTTCTCATAATCTTATATATAATATCCTATTCATACTAAAATTTTGTTAAAGTACGCCAAATTAATAAAAGGAGGAAAAGACAATGTACACCTTACAACCATTACTCCAACATGACTAATAACTTGTACTATTGTCACCAAAAATATAAACTTGTACTAGCTATGGATTACTATATCAAATGAAACTAACAACAACCTCAAAACATACATTAGTGGATTCCATTGTATGATCACTCGCTCATAATTTGATATCCCGAATCTGAAAAAAGAGATATGAGAATATTTCAGCAAAAAATTATGATATGATATGATATCATGTAAAAGAAATATAATATGGATTTGGACCGTTGCTGGCATATATTCTTGGTATAATTGATTGATCAAGGTATTGGGAATAATTCCTAACATCAATTAATTAACATAAACTAAATTGCCAATAAGTGGAACTACCATAATAATGCAAGATACTGAGCTATACTATATTATAAACAGTAGTTTTGAATTTTATATACATGTATACTTTTCGTACAGTCCTATAGTTTGGTAATTACTTTTTGGGCATGATTTCGTTAACGTTTCCTAGGAATAAATCTCTATTTTATAACATCAAGTCACTTTTTAAGATGCTTAATCATTAGTAATTGTTTTCATGAATAATCAGTTTTGTACTTTTGTTAGGTGAGGTCGTAACTCGTAGCCCTACAATAAACTATAGCTGTTTAAATTGACGAGTTTAAAAGCGTGTTGCTAAAAAGTTTAGTAGCTCGCGAAGGCAATTACCATGTGAAACTTAATAAAGATGAGTTTTAATTATATGTCATGGGAAATGTGGCTTAAAATATTAAGGAAAAATTAACAATAATAAGCTGAATTTTGAGTGGTCTTTCAATATTAAATTCAACTTTAATTGATTAAAAAACAAGCCAAATTTTATGTCACTCTTACAATATTAAGTCATGACCTGTTATATGAGGTTTTTTTTTTTTTTTTTTGGACAATCAAATAAGCAAAACAGGGGAGATACAAACTAGCTACTCTTCCTTGGTGCAATGACAAGGTTATGGGCCTCTGCTACTTTACATCTCTTTACTTTCTTAATTGAAAAACAGGTAAAAATCCTAGTGTAAGACTTGAGTTGTTCCACCACTTGCTTTACCTCCCTTTTCGCGTTGCTTCCGTCTTCATAAGCTCTTACGAGCTCCAAGGAGTCAGTGAGAATGATGATGCTTTTTCCAGCGACATTAGGATTCTTTACAGCTTTGAGTGCTGCAATAGCTTCTGCTTGTGCTGGGGATATTGCGAAGACCGGTGCTTGGCCTCTATCAATTGTCACCCCTTTTTTCTTTTGTTACCCATCCTACAGCAGCTCTCCACCTGGATATCTGATCTGAAGTACGTTTCCAAGCTCCATCTACAAAAATAGTGATGTTCTGATGGTGCTCATTGCTATCCGTGGGGACAGCCTCACTTCCTCCAATACTATGTGTCAAAACTTTATTGGTGAGCTTTGTTTTAATTAATATTTTTAAAAGTGTGATTAAATTAAATCCTAATTAAAAGCTAATGACATAATTAACCAATATAAAAAAAATAAAAAATGAAAAAAAAAAACATCCAACCTCCTGACTGCCGGACTACCCCCCCAACCAGCCACGCACCACCAAGCTCCAACCCGTATCCCTGTCGGCAAAACACTATCTAGCCCCCACCTCTGACCGGGAAACCCTTTCAACCCCCCAAACCCAGTCGGCGACTCCACCCAGCCATTCCTGAGTCCAAATATACTATCTCGACTTGCAAACCCCCCACCAACAAACCCATGTTTACGAACCCCCTGCCCTTGTCGGCGAAACCCCCACCCAACCCTACCTTTGTCGATCAGACAAGTAAAACCTCCACCCTTCGCCGATGCCCACCGCAAACCTAGGACCACCTAGCCCGACACCTCAATTTCCGAAAAAAAATTATTCATAAATTTTGTATTTAAATTTAAATTTAAGGTTGTTAATTTTGTTATTAATTAAGTTAATTATATTAAATTGTGATTTAATTATATTTAAGATAATTGATGACCTGTTTGACCAGTCACAATTAAACATACCCATTTACGAAAAATAGATATCAAAGTTATTTAGGGCATGTTCCGTTCACTTTATTTTCACTCATTTCAGGTGTAATACGTACATATAAGTTTGGATAAATTCATATAAGGAAAAATAAGTTATGATATGCGTTATCAAAGTACAAATAACAACTAAAATAAATTTTATTAAGGTATAATAAGTTCAGATAAAATAAGATAAGTTTAGATAAGTGAAATCAAGCAAATAAAACACACCCTTAAACTTATCTTTTATTAGAATATAAGATAAGGCAAAATGGACAAACTAACTCTTAATCTTGCTATGATTATTGAGTGCATCTAGGTGTTGGGGTTTGGTGAGTCCAACTCACCGCGGAAACAAACCCAAAACCAAGACCGCACTCGCAATAAATAAAACCATAAACATAAATAAATTAATCACAAGATTAAGACAAGATAGTTACCTTTGGAGCGTGCTTCGCCCAAACGGAACAGTCTCTTACTTCAAAAGCAAGCCTCGAAAATACGACGGCCTCCAACGATAGTCCACCCACAACCCGACCACCGAAAATGGTCCAATGCCTTGGAGTTAGTAAGGCCCGACCAAAAACCCGAGTGATTAATGAGTTCAAAGGTTTTCACAATGGTGATGCCTTTTTCAACTCTCACTCAAGTGATTTTCCCAATACCCCAACTTGGGTATTTATAGGGAAAATAAGAGAGTGAAAAGCTCTCCCATCAATGTGGGAGAATTTGATTTTTCCATTTTATTTTAAAGCTAAAATAAAATTAATAATCAAACTAGTAATAAATCAACAAGTGACAAGCTCATGTGAGAGGTTAGGTGAGGACCATTTGGAGGAGGGGGGGGGACCAAACTTGCTCCCCACTCCCTCTCCAAAAACCGGCCAACACACCCCTTCAAGCTCCACTCAATTCGGGCCACGTGGAACCCACACTTGGGCACTAAGGCACCCAAGGTGGGCTGCCTTGCCTCGGCTGCCCAGCAGGCCCAGCAGCGCTAGCATGCGCGTAATGGCCTAGCCATGCTGCTGCTAGCTGCTGTGGCTGGCGCGCATTACGTGCTAGCTGCTGCGGCTTGTTGCGGCACGGCTGCTAGCCAATGGCCGCACAAGGCAGCCTCTTAGCAGCGCTAGCACGCACTAGGCTATGCCTAGTATTGCGATGCTAGCCACCATGCCCCTAGCACTCGGTTTGCTCGGGGCATTCCGATGCTAGGGGTATTTTGGTCTTTGTTGATTTATTATTTTCATGCCTCGTCTTTTATTATTTTCCGACTCGACTTTCGACGTTTGGTTTCAACGCTCTAAGATCGAATTTCCCGACGTCTAAATATTAAATACTCGGTTGACTTATTAATTAATTCATAATTAATTAGTCGCTTCGGTTCGTTAGTTGCTTGGGTGTGACCTGAAGGGTTTAGTCAAGATTAAGCTGTAATATTAATTATGCATTAATATTACTGATCGGAAGCGGCCTCCACCCAGGCATTCCGATCACTTGACCTTACTGAATATATTAGCTTTCTAATAATTCTGAACCCACTAACAGAATAGTACACTTGTTCAAAGGATATCATTCCTTTCACTAGGCGCATAGGACCTATGTATTTGGCATGCACTT